ACAATTTTTCTCTGGTGCTGGTAACATGAAAGGAAACAAATGATTGGATGATACAGCCAGTATCTACAATTATTCTTCCCATAAATAGAAGCATTGAAATGGCTTTTTACTTAAATTCTATACTGTAAAAAATAATGTAAATGGGGCCTTGGTGCTTTAAAATATGGACCGAGTCTGCTGAATACACTATTTTATGGGAAATTAAATTCAATAGATGGGACAAACCTTGGCCATATTTACATCATGGTAAATCCAGAGTATTGAAAATGGGGCAGTGAACAGGAAAAAAAAAGCTCCTTTTAAAAAAAGAAGTATTTCAGACCATCATTTAAAAATGACAGAAGGAAAGAAAACACAATTTTATATAACCTGGAATATAAAATGTTGCATGCAATTAGAAAATATTAGGAAATTAAATACAGGGGATGTGATGATTTAGAATATATTAGGATACTGCACAAGTTACAATTTCTTGTGTCCTGACATGTTTTTCTATGATAAAAGATTGGCAGAGCTGGTAGGTAAAACTTCTTTGCACATTGTATATAAACTGCACAACCTTTGCTGTATCAACTTTATGCTCCAATAAACAAGACAATAATGACAAATTATCAAAGCAGTCCTCAGATGTGACCCTCAATTGGAAGAGCAGCAATTTAATGAAGACAAAAGCTAGGTGAAAGCTGCTAATATCATTTACTGATAAACAGATTTTCTCAAGAGGCTCCTAGCTCAATCCCCTGAGGCCCCATAAACCTGCATAATTCCATTTAAAATATTGTGCAATTCACTAAATTAGTCTTTGAACATCCTTACTATCCAATTACGAAGCCCCAGCATGGACAGAATAATGAAATTTTTCAAACTGTGGAATGCATGTGGCCTTAACAAACTTATGACAAACACTGAAATTAGCTTTCAGTTTTGAAGCCAATGCAGACTATTGCTAATGCTTCAAGTCAGAGATAAAACAATAAAACACTATTGCAGTGTTTAAGCAGGATGTAAAAAAAATAAATCTTCGACTTATATAGAATTCTCAACACAGCTTACCTTCAGGTAAAAAAAATCATAAGAACTTGAATAATGTTTCTGCATTTGCAAGCTATTTGGCCTGCTTAAGTTCTAGTAAAAGCTTTACTGAATAAAGGGTACAAAATACCTCCTGGACAGTTTCATCTTCCAGGCAGGCAGAAAAAGGCGAGAGTTTCTGAAGTGAAATTTATTTCTGTTCAAGCATTGCAAGCTGTATTATTAAAGTAATTTGTCATGGTTTGAATATTTCTGCCTGATTCACCATTAAATTGGCCTTCTAATTACCAACTTTGTCATGAAAAGCAGTTGGACTTCTTCATTCACCAGAAAACTTCAATCCCTTAATAATAGCTCGGTTCAAATAGTGGGGGAAACACTTTTATGCTCAAAATTTAAAATGAATAGGATAGACATTACAAAAAAAAAAGACTCCGAGCTGAAATGAATCCACTAATGATGGCTTCAAATTCAAATGTTACCCAGAGAATATTTAGAATATATTTTTAATGAAAGCATTATTAATTTGGATGGTGAATATTTTACCTTTTAAAAATGCAAATTCATTTATTTTGAATGTAAATACAAAGCTGAAATAAATTCACGTAACTTAGGGCAGTGAACATTCACTTAGACAAAAAACACATAGTACCAATTCCTAATGTTATAAAGGTTCAGGACAATGTGCAGAAGTGATTGCAATTATTTGTGTATCCATTTAGAGTGATCATGCATGTTGATGATCATGCAAGTGACCACAATTATAAATGGTTGGGCAGAAATGAAACTGTTTTATGTATCATGTGCTTATGAAACTGTGATAGTGAGGTTGTCTATGAATTACTTCCTTTGATAGCTGTGGAATGCCAGGTGCTTCCACCAGCAGTTCTGTACAGCGATCCTCTTAGTCTCACTGGAGTTCAGTTTATATGCCAAATCATATTTAAAGATTTTTTTTTAAAGCAGAACATTGATTTTATCATATAGGCTTTTCTATATAATAAAAAATTTGTCCTTCCTCTAACTAGCATTTTAATTGCACAAATCAGGCCTCTATATTTACATGCAGTCTACACTTATCCAGCTATACATTTCATTAAAAATTCCAGTTATTACTAATCTATCTTGAAAAATTGGAAGCTGAGGGTTAGTGCCATTTTCTGTCAAAAATATACTGATTGTTACTTTAATTTGCAGAATAAATCTGGAAATCTTTTTAGTGTAGGTTTTTAATCAAGACTTGCTATCATCCTACTTTCCTTAAACCCTTTTTGCCCTAGCATAAAGAGAAAAATTGCCACACTAGGTTATGGCAGTAATTCCATTATTTCAAAAAGCTCTTTCAATATTTGACAAGCATCAGGTGAAAAACCTTCCGTGTACCCAAAGATTTAAGACTTTGTTAGCTATATGTAAACCCAGGCTGAGATATCATGCTGACCTTGACTTCTAAAGGAAAGATGACCTTCACTTTAAAGCATGCTCTAGAAGGAGTTAAGATAACTTGGATCCTTAAAAATCAGAGTCACACATTACGTTGCATAGATTTTTGACACTGTATCCTTCTTTGGCAAGAGAGGAAGGTTTACAAAATGAGTCCAAAAAGTCATCAGTATGACATCAGAAAAGGTGACAGGATGAGGAGCCAAAAGGCAAACTCTAGGAATTTTCTACTTTTATTACTCAGGATTGTTACTGGCAGGAGAATGATGTGGCTGAGACACTTCAGCAAAAGGAACCAGCAGAAGACAGGGAGAAACAGGTACAATATGAAGATGAAAAAAATCAATGATGACTCTTTGCTATGCCTTTCTGTATTTTCTTAACTATTATGTTTGGGGCAATGTGTTTATGAAGCATGATGAAACACGCTTTTCTGAAACAACAGTCATAAGGAAGAAAACACACTTGCAAAGGTGTTCAGGATCTCAGAAAAAAAAAAAAAAAGCTGAAGTTCTTCATGATTCAAACATTTTTGAATTGAGAAAGTGTGTTAGTACACTTCCTAGGTCAGGATGTATAATAACCCACTTGTGCTATGAGAACACTTAGGTCCTTCCACATGCTGACTCCAAAGCATGTGTGGTGAAACACTTTGCTCTAACTATACTTGTAAGGGTCCTGAATCTGGTTCTCTCCTCAGATACACATTGTGAGTCCAAATCTACTAATGACAAAAATATGGATACCAGCAGTTTCTGCTAATTCTTTCTGTTTCAATAAGAAAATCTATTTAACTGCAGGGTACTTCCACAGAGGATGTTCTTGCTGACTGTTGTACATAACCCGGGGGATTACATGTAGGAAATTGGTGCAGATAACATGAAACTGAAAATAACTGAATGAGAAATTTGGAGAGCTGGTATGAGACAGAATGGATATAGAGATATAGTGGTACAAGCAAACATTCAGAAGGTGGCAGCGAGATACATATGGAAAAAGGAAGATAAATAGATAGGAACCCTACATAACTAAGGACAGACAAAGGATTCAGTTTCTTCAATTTCTGTTTGTTCTTGCCCAGTATAATCCTCCTTTGTAGTCTTTTTCCTTTATTCCACTGTATGTCTCCATGAAATGCAAAAGCTGTAGTTTGATAGCTCTGCTGTTTTGGGTTTCTACTCTTCAGAATGAAGTAGCTGAAACAAATGGCTTCTGGGTTTTTGAATGTAAGATTTGGGAGCTTGTGTCTCGGCATCCTTTCTGGAGAGGGCAGTTGGCTTGCTCTGGACTAGGGTGGGCACAGGAATCAAGCTGCTGGTGACATCTGGGTAGTCTGGGCTACAGTGAAACTTTGAGACCTCAGCTGATACAAGAGCACAGACAGAGCCAAGGAAATCAGTGTATCTGCCAGAGTCTCTGCCAGAGAAGCATAAATGCAGGATGTAACTGTGGCACACAGCTTCCCGCAGGCAAGTTTCTAGCGTTTCTGACCAGGTGGCCAGAGAATGCCTATATTTTGTCACCTGAAAATCAGGCATCTGCGGAAAATCAGGAACTGCATCATCCTGCAGAAAATTGCTTCATACCTGTTGTCGTGGGTTTGGTTTTTTTTGTTTTTGTTTTTTAAATTGAGACTGGAAAAGGTATCATATCAGCATCCTGGAGGAGATATGCTTGGGGTCTATACTGTGAAAAAAAGGGGAAGATCAAGGGAAGAAAGAAACTCAGAAGAAAAAAGAAAATAGAAACGAAGATATTTCTGGTAGGGATGCTGTCATTGTACAGTGTCAGCACAATGCTGTCCTGACTATTATCTAGATATCAGCCTAATACAAATGGTAAACTAAAATTATAACTGATAAAAAGACAATAGTGGAGGGAAGACACTCTCAGAAATAAAACATACTGCCATGATTGTGAAAGATTAACATTTTTCTTATTAAATGATGAGCTTGCTTTTTAATATCAGCATTATAATAGACTATGCTATGAATCTCTCTATCATACCTAAAGCACTGTTAATTTATCTTTCATGAATACATTAGAAGAGAGGGTTTTCCCATAGGCAAACACACCATACCATATTTGCAAATGTCTTACATAATGATGCAAACACTATGCATAGAGAGTAGCAGTATTATAGTGTGGAAGGCAGAAACAGCACATGCACAAAAAGACTTTCATTCCATTTCATTAAATACTAAACCAACAAAATAAAGTCCAATTTACTGTATAGAAATCTTGCAGTTGTGGAAAAGGTTGCTGCTTAAATTTATACTTTAGGTTAAATTCAGCTATTTGTAATAAGGAGCTTATGAGTATAGATAGAGTGAATGATTTGTTAACGCATTGATTGCATTTGTTCTTAAAATACAGCACTGTTCATTTTGCAGTTGTATCTGCTAACAAATTCTTAAATATCTACTTATTTGGGAAAGAGTTCATGTGCTGCACTCTGCTTTAAAAAAAAAAAAATCTTAGTGATATACTACGGTATGGAAATTAAATTGGAAATCACAGTCACAGACACAAAAAAAAATAGCAGTCATTTTATTTAGCTTGTTACCATCTAGTCTAGTCCAAGAGCATTACCTTAACGGCAGACTTGGAATTCATGAAGAGTTACATAAGGGCCCTGTTGTCAAACATAAAAACAACCCATTTAGTGTCTGTTTTGCATCTACACAGGAAGTTTTCTTTCATTATCAACCAGCCCCTAGATCTTATTATAGCCATTGTTTAATTTGTGCTCTGTTTTACAAGTGACACTTGTACAGGCCTCATGGGGCTGCTGACAGAAGTGTGGCTGTCTCCTTCCCTTGTGTCAGTTCTTTTGTGAACCTTTATAATTAGCCACTTAACAAATTGAGGAAAATGAATCTGTGGTTGTGAAGTGTTCAGTGGTGCTAAGTCAACCATGTGACAGTCCAAGCTGATATGTAAAAAGTCATGGTACTCAGCAGTACAAAGGGTTAACAAAACCTCATTATGGTAGGTTAATAAACAGAAATGAGGTATGTGATCACCAAGAGACACTAGAAAAGTTAGAACCACTTCCCTCAATTGTAATATATATAATTGTTTCAAAATTCTTACAAAAGTGTTTCACCTCTTGTGTTTTGTGGGTGGGGGGGTAGGGGAAATTACCAAATTACACAATAGTGAGTCACATATCATGGCTTAAAGCCTATTCTGTCCAACTCCCAGTGTTTTATCTATGGCACTTTATAGGCAAAACAACAACACAGCAGCTGTCTCTCGCAGAGAAAACCATGTCCCAGCTTTCAGTATGTCACATTTTCTATTTTCTCCTAAGATACACCACAGCTAATTTAATTACATTACCTTAACTTCAATGAGTAATGCCATTTCTAACAAAAATATAATCTGCACCCATGTACATTTTTCCCTAAAAATATATACTTTTATTTACTTTTTTCAAAATATTCAGATTTTTTTTTTGTAATGTCAACTGAAAAACAAGATCTTGTTCCTGTTTTTAGTAATCAAAACCTGATATTTTCTCTTTTTTTTTCTTCTGTGAAAAAGTGATGTCTTAAAAAACAGATAGCTTTTTTTCTCACAAATCTTTTTACTGTGATTTTTAATAGGATTATTGTCTAGTGGTCTATTGTCATAATTACTATATGTAAAAAAATTCAAGGGTATATATATATATATATATATATATATATATACAGACATTAAATTAACACCCTTGCATGCATAAATATGGATCTGTGGGTGTTCACCCAGACTTCACTCTGCTTACAGCTCTTCAAGTACCTAAAGTGTAGAAATGGATTCACATGAAGTGCATCTTGCTTACTTCAGAAGCAGCCTTTGAACCAGGAGGAGGAACCAGAGTCTCCCCTGTTCTCAGGTGGGTGATTTAGCTACTGAGCCCGATTAGTCATGACATCCTCTTCCACTGTAGTGGGAAGACACCAGGAAGGGAAGTGGAGAAAGCCCTCCTCTGCTTACCCTGAACAGATGGTTGCTCATTGATTAGGGTGTCCCTTGAGAGGTGGGAACGGTGGGTTTGAACCTCTGCCAGTGAAAGGGGAATTAAATCCTCATCTTCTTTAAAGTGGGTCTTCTAGCTACCGAACAGGAATCCTGCACTGTGAAGACATTTTACAAGAAAGACTGATTTTTGAATGTGATATCATGCAGTTATCTTATGAGTTCAGGGTGATGTTGGCTCTTCATTGAGTAGGGCCTTGAGCTTCTGGGACATAAAACATATTTCTCTTCTACATGTTTCAGTTTAGCCAACCAGAGAAGTGTGATCCCCTGCAAAATGGCTCTGGAGGTTTTTGTTCTGAACACACTGTTGACATGAAATACCTTATGTTGTTCAGGTACTTTGGAGGGGTTTAAATTCAGAAAAAAGCTCTATGGATTTCACTTACAGCTCTTATATATCTGAATTTTACATTTCCAAAATTAATTCTATACTATGGGAAAGATCACCAGCAGTGAATCCAGATCTGGAAGCACTCGCTTTTATCAGTACATATTGTGTGTGTATGGGCATCCCCATACCAACAGAACATATAAAGATTTTAAGAGCCAAGACCTGCATTAGAGTAAAGAAAGTCCATCTGGAGCAGAGCGAGATGTCAATTTTAGTAATACAATTGTTTGTGTGCTTGTTGGGTAGCAGAAGAAAATCTAAGGGGCACTGTTCCATCCAGCATCTAGTGACTCCAAGAAGTTCTGCAAGAAGGTAGAGCACACTTCCCAGTGCCCACTCAAATTCTAACCTCAGTGACTGCACAGTTCAGTGGTGTGTGCTCTTATGGGAGATGCAGCAACAAAAAAGAATAGGGGCTGTGCATGTCATAAAATAAGCTGGTACATAACAGGATATGCAGCATTTTAGCTCTCTTCCAGCCTCTCAATGACTCATACTGCATCACCACCTGTCAAGAGATTCCTCCTTGGTCAGTGTCAGCTGGGCAGCCCTTACAGGCTAGAAAATGCTTAAAACAGACAGTGCAGTACATATCATTCCTAATGTGAAAACAAGGCTGGTGGACAGAGGAAGCACACATGAGACTGTGGACATGTTGGGATTGGTGTGGCAGACACCTAGAAAGGTTTTATCACTGATTATAGCAGTGAACATGATGTAAACAGCTGCACATGCTGAAGGTGTGAAACCACAACATGCAGGTGAGCAAAATACCAGTCATCACTGTAGAAAACAACTTGCTATGGATAGAAGAATCAGAAGCAAGAGAGAGAGATGAAGACTCACATGCCCCCCTGGTAGTGGAATACATACTAGTGACCTATGTAGGGGACAGCAGGCCCTCATTTTAGCAAAAAATCTGCCTTGCAATCCCCTTCTGGAACACAGTTTATTGTAAGTGCTTTCCACTTCTTTTATCTTCTGAGTCATAAACTCCTCTGAGATTAATGAGGGAGATAGAAGTATTATTTTCTCTGTATGCAGTAGGTACCTACATTTTCTAACTTAGTGTTATTCCATCTGACTATAGAGAATTAAATCAAAGAGGCTTCTAGGGTAAAAGCAAGCTAGAAACAAAACAACAGCAAAGATGATCTATCTCCAGAGAAAAACCAAGTAACAACGAAGAAGGCAGGGAGCTATTAACTGCAAGACAGGCACCTGCTTGTCTCCAGCCAGGCTAACAGGTGTGTTTTGCCTGACCAAAGCTTCAGAGAAAAAGAAAACCAAATTGTTTAGAAAAAAAATAAATCCCTGGCTAAAGAAGGAAGTTTTTATAACAAAATGCATCAGGGAGGTAATGAAAGTAGGGACACTGCAACTGCCTGTATCTCCTAGGCAAGGAAAGGGGTGTCCACTATGAAAGAAAAAGTCAACAAAACTCCCAGGAATAAGCAAGATTCAGAAATAGGCCTCACACTGTTTTATCTCCCTTCTCAGAAAGCTGTGTACTCTGCAATGAATAAATAATGCCCTGTTTTGAAGAAGCAACCTTGCAGGAGCGAAGTACAGCTGGATTTGCTGCTTTTTCACAGGTGAAAAACAGAGGGTTGTAGCCCAGTGATCTAGTCTAGGGACTGTGCAAAAGTATATCTAAAGAGGGACTGAGAAAGCTCTCACTAGATGGATGCATTTTGGAGAGATGAAAAGAGTCTAAAATGCAGCTTGCTGTAACAGCAGTAGACACACTTTTAACTGCTGAAAGTTGTGCTGTTTTGCTTCTCTCAGATTCTGTTGTGGAGCTGAGAGGAACAGATGCCATATGAGCTGGTAGCAGCGGCATCTTGCATGCTTTTGTAACTCTACAAATTGCCAGGAGATACAAGAATATCACAAAAACACAGAAGCAGCAAAAATAATGCCTTGGTTTCCCAACTGCTTTGGAAATAAGTGAAGAAGTCATGCTGGAGACTTGCAATGATTTGGGGGCCCTGGAAAATGAAAGATGTTTTAATGAGAGTTCATTAGGGCTTTGAATGTTCATTGACCTGATAAGCACCTTCACTTCTAAACAACTATTGAAATCCACTGCAAATCAATAATAACCAAAAGTGGCTGCTGATTTAGTGCCATCTATAGCCTACAAGATACATGTGCATCACAGGGGCCTTTTCTGCATTTACATATTGGGAACCTCAGCACTGAAGCCATGGTTAAAAGAAGAGAATAATAACATTTGAATCTTAAATATATTCTCACTATGGGAAAAAACAATATGTTTCAGAGAATGATATGCTGAAGCTTCCTCTGCTACAAAATCCCTCATGCTTATTCTGTGATTATAGAGTATTTATACCATTTTGATCCTCAACCTGTCATATAAATACTGAGTTCCCTTCTAAACAAATTAAAATATAAACACATATATAAAATGACTATGCACAAATACACACACACATACAAAACTAAATTTATAGTTTTCCTTTCCCCATTTAGGTGTTGCACTATTGAGCTGCACTGACTCCTATCTCTAGTAAGTGCAGCATACACGTAACTTATAATTTTCTCTGTGTTAATAATTCCCCTTGTCAAGTTGAAATTTTGAATAAAATGGCCAGAATACATGATCATGATGAACTGATAGAAATTAGATATATTGCTCTAGATAAGAGGCAGTACTAGCCTATTCTAAAATGCATTATTCAACTAATTTTAAACAGAAGTATCACAGAAATAGATCAGCAGCTGTTAGAACACATCTCACATCAATATATAAGTGTATTTTTGATATTGCTCATTGTGCTGTTACAAGAAATAATTTGCAGCCAAAATTTTGCTCCTCCCTCCTCCACCTAACTTTAATATGTTTATCTGCTGATACTGACATGCAAAGGGAAATTTCAATTCTCTCGACTTGATTCTACTATCAGTGCTGATGGTGGAAATTACTCAGAAGGAAACAGGAATATTCAGGATTCAGACTGGCTAATCAAGAAATGATGACTGTCCTTTGTGCTTCGTGTCAGAAGGAACTCTGCTGTATTGCATAAGATTCTCTTGTAATAATATCCTTTAGAAATAACTTCAAAAAGTCAAGCAAAAAGAAGGAGGAAACTTAAGCTTTTCCTGACTGCTCAGCTGCACCTCCTCTGCAGTCTGTACTATTTGTGTGACTACTCACATTGAAAAATCATTGAAAATCTTCAGACCACAAAGCTGCTCAAAAACAGAAACAAATAATCAAAATCAATTTATTTGTTTTGCCAGTAACAGGAATAAAAGCATTTGACATATTCTATATAAAAATGCAAGGTAGCAATAACAATCACTGTTTATTAATCTATTTATACAGTTGAATTAATGGTCTTTTATAAGTACTTATAGTCTCTATTAAGCACACGACTGTTTTTATCAGCTTCTCTCTAATTTCTATCAGTTAAAAAGAAAAGGTTGCTTTGCTGATAAGGATAATATAGAAGAATTAATCTTTGGTTAAAGATTAAAGGGCATCTGTGCTAGAACTGCATGAATAAAGACTTAACAGTCAAATACACTGGATCCAGTTTTATTTCACAGCTTTTCACACACAAATAAAAACTGTATGTGTACATACACATAAAATGTGCCATTAAAGGCATTTTTCAGCTAGAATGAGTTGCATTTGTCATTTGGTACAAAGCCTCTTTCAGAGAAATTGTTGATTTTTTCACAGAGGCTCCTATACTTTTCATTCCTTTTGTATTATTTCAATCAGCAATGGATATACATCTTTGTTAGCCTAATTTGGGGACCTACAAAGCAGGAAGAAGGAAAGCACAAAGGAACACACTTGACATATTGGTCTATTTGCTACCTCTTTTAAGCTCAATGCATACTAATGAAAGTGATCCAAACTATTTTTCTCCACTCCTCACTTAACAAGCATAATAATAAATGAATATTTAAACTAGCTGCAAATATATTAAGTGGAAACAAATAGGTTTCATTTGTAACAAGTGCACACAGGTTAATTAACAAGAAGGAGCTTTTGTGTTGAAACAAGGCTCCCTGATGCTGTACATGCAGGTGCCGTTAAGGGCCAATTGAGCTCTATAGGATAATTATGAAGTACCATTGTGCTCTACCGTTTGTTAACAAAGTGCTGCCTGCAATTTGCCTAAACCTATAAACCATCATCTGTGATCCTCAGCAGCAATTAAGTGACAAACATCTTCTCATCGGAGACTTGGGAAAACAAAAGAGACATGATAGCATTTAAGGAGCCAGATGGATATTTCAGAATGTCAACCCTGACAGCCTCCCTTTCAACAACAAAATATAAAACGGGAGCCTGCTTGGTACCATGCTGTGGGGAAGAAGGGAAAAGTCGCATCCAAATTATTAAGAGAAGGGTGTTAGTAATCACAGGATTGCTCATTTGAACAGCTCTTAGTGGGAAAGCCTTGGACTGGCAAATAAGCAAAAGATAAAACCCTTTTCCCTCTGAAAACAGCTGTGGCTACAGCTCTGTTGAGTCTGGGTTGTTTTTTAGGTTTGGGGATTTTTTTTCTCTTTTTAATTCTTCTTTTTAATTTCTTCCATCTTCACAGAAGGGGATTTTCTCCCAGTGAATAAAAGTATAAAAATTCTCTTTTCTAAGAAGAGGACAAACCAACAGACAGAATTTTCTCCAGGGCATAAGTTACTAATTAGTTCTGCAAAAATAGCCTATATTAGGAAAAATGATGGATCAGCACAAAGAGGCATTTTAAAACAAGAGATCTACTACTACTGTAAAATAATTGATCTAAAAGTTTTGAGGATGTAATCTTTAAAATGCTTCTGTAAGCTCAGCAATAATTCCAGAAGCTATAAACTTTATACAGGCTTGTTTGAATTAGTTCAATTAATTGCCTGGTTGGGAGACCCTCCAAAACTTGGGGAAGCTCTTGTTTTCATAGATAAGGATCTTCTGGGCATTTTGTTGCCTACATTAAATGATGTTGTCTAGCTGATCTGTGTAATTGGTAGAGCTAAAAGGCTATTCAGTAACATGAAAAAAAATAAATTATAAATGCATGAATGTCACTAGCTAGCCTACATTTTTTTCCCTATTGCCAAAACAGCAGCATTTACAAATGTTTTCTGTAACCATTTTGAAGCTACAGCTGAGTGTGTTTTAATATACCATCAGGTCAACAGCTCTCTTGAAAGAAAAAATCAACCCAGGGCCAAACAGTCAGACGGGCCTAATTAAGTACTTCAGGAGTCAGAGAAGTGCTCAGATAACTACAGCTGACTTGACCCTTTTCTTTGTACTTCACTGGGTTTCTGTATACCTTTGCCACTCTCCTTTGGATTTATGTTTTTATGAATTATTTAAAAAAGGCAACTTCAGATCTACAATTAGTTTTCAAGGAAACAGATGTGAGAAAATAATCACAACTTAAACAGCTTAAAAACGGCTCTGATCTTGACGGAATGCAAAATGCCAGATTTCCAGGACCGCAGAATTCATCACTTGGCAAAAGTGTCATTAATCCCTGCCTGCTTTCTGGCCTTTTCTTACAGTGCTCTGTCAAATGTCACAGATCACCTGGAAATCTAACAGTCATGACAGAGCTGGGGTTTCTTTCTTTAATGGTGGGGGGGACAGGAGGGGGAGTGAACTGTTTCCGTTTTAAGAAAAAAGAAAAAAAGGAAAAAAAAAACCTATGAAAAAAAGATAAAACAAAGATAATCCATGTAAGCATGTTTTAGCTTTGTATAATACTGCACTATGTTGTGATGTGAAAAACATGATAAAGCATTTTGTCATGCTGGGGGTTTAATATTTGTTTTCTGCTGTGTATTTAACAAATACAAGACTGGTTAAATGGGGAAAATTGAGTTCTTTTGTCACCTCCATTGGTATCCTCAATGACCCAAGATTCATGAGCTGATTTCCGCTTTTCCTCCTGAAAAGATTTTACCTGTTACCTTAAGAGAAGTCCTGCAATGTTTGAAGATGCATCCTGCAGCTTTTCTTTAGGCAGATTGCTGAAGGCTTTCTCCCAGTATCGTGAGCATCACTGGGCAGCCTTCCATCACTCCCAGCAAATGTGCAACCCAGCCTAACCCACTTGGCACAGTAACACTTTGAAGTCTCATTCAGGGACACTTGGACTTCAAAGTATATATAAAGAAAAAAGCCAGTCCCATGTACAAGGAGAGATGTACTGATGGAAATGAAAGCTGTAGCCACTGGCACCACATGGAGAGGCACAAATGTCTGAGATTTAAAAATCTGGGGACACTACAAACTAAATAATTTCAAAAACTTTGTTTAATTTATTTTACTCTTTTCTTGTAGAGAGACCAGGCCTCCACGGCTATTTTTAAGATGCAGATCAAAGAGTGTGAGGTTAAATGAACATACTTGATCTAATGATTCGCTGCGTGAGCAGAATTGACACATTTTGTCCCTGTGTTTATCTTTCATTCTTTGCATTTCACCCTGATTACTTGTCTTTAAAGTGCATACATTATGATCCATGATACTGGTGAGTTTAGGAGAGCTACAGACATCTCCAGCTTTTGTAGGATCTCAGGTAACTGGAAACAAAGCATTTCAGGGCAAGTCTGCAAAGCCTGATTCCATATTCAAAATTATAACAGAGGTGTATTTGCTAGAATGTTCTGACTTTTGTTATGATTCTTTATCTTAAATGATGGAGAGTCATTTCCATCTTAAATGATGGACACGAACTCTTGTTTCAAGCAAATTCTAGGCGGATCTTCATGGCTTTGTATAAATGTAAGTCTTAGCTCTAAATACAACTTAGAATTGCATACACCTATGCAGCAATACAGTTACCTCAGCAAACCTCTTTACCTTGGCTAAGGACACTACAAAAATGCATAATACTGACTTACAATTATTCATATGTAATTGTCTCTGTTATCAAACTTTTTACAATTTTGTATGTTCATTACTGGATCCAACATTTTCCTGAGCAGGAAATATCTTTTTGTATGCAAATATCACTTAAATTTTGATAAGAACTAGCTTCATTGATATATTTTTGGGACAATAGCTGAAAGAATTGTTCATCTTTATGTGACTAAGAACAATTTTGAAAGTCTAATGAAAGGGATGTGTTATTTAAACATCTTTTCAGTATTTTGTTTGCTACCCTACTTAATTAATTGTTAGTTATGCAAATTCCATTCTGTACTTACAGGAATTTTTTTCCCACTAAAATTTAATTCAAAAAAATACCTACCATTATTGTTTTATTCTCTGCTGGCTAGACCATTTAGATTATACCCCATTAATTTATAAACACATGGATTGTCACAGCCTACACTAAATAAATTTCAAACACTGTGAAAGAAAAATACAGCTTACAACTAGAGGTTTTTATCCTAATTAGCATAACTAAGCATAAAAAAAATAAATGATTGGAGAGTAAAACGTGAAAAATAATTGAAAACAATGGCTATGTTTTAGCACTGTACAAATCAGATCAATGGTTTGTCTTGCATCATTAAGGTCCAGAGAAGAAGGATGGTAAATAAATGGGAAATAAGTATTGCAAAGATGTGTTTTGGGAACTTACATCGAGAGTCTGCAACCCAAATTACCCAAGTGGATTTAAATATTTGAGTTTTATTTAGATCTCCTGCCTATATTGGCTAGGAGGAGAGTTAATAACAATCCATTCATGCAGTCCTTACACATAAGAGTAGGCAGCACCACTAGACAGCAATGTGGAAGTCAATTAGTGGTAACATGCACAGGTACTGTGTTTCCCCAGGGGTTCCTAACATCTCAAAATGCAGCAATGAGAGCTGAGAAAGGTGATCAAGACCGACAGAAGAACTTTCTTAACTGATTGGTTGATATAAGCATAATAATAACTAGGATTTGAGGAGCCTGGCAGCATGAAAACAAAAGGAACTCAAGAGAAAGAAAGGTTAGATCTGGTCTGGCTCCCATTTGAAATGATGCATAAAGTATCTCTCTTGCCTTAGAATCCTCTCGACTGAAATCAGAAAAAAGTGCATTTGTCCCTAAGACATTTTCCAAATAATTCAGCTTAGAATTTCTGCTTTGGGAACAAAATCTGTACCTCATTCTACCGTGTCTTAGGATCACTTACCAGAACAAATAGTTGAGGCCGATGTGATTTTTTTTTTTAAGTAATTTGCCTCTGCGAGAAAAAATGCATTTATTTCTACGAAAAAACACAGCATCTGTTCTTCCCTGCTGCTTCTACAAAACAATACTTGTTATTAGAGAATAGCTATGGAAAATTAGGCAGCTAAAATGGAATTTACCCAACTTGGAATCTGAGGAGAGGAAGCTCAAATGCAATTTACTCAACTTGGAATTTGAGGAGAAATGTATATTTAACATTTGTCCGGCGGATTAGCACAGCAGGACTGTCGCGTTATTCAGAGCCACGCCAAGTTCTTCCAGTTTAGTTGACTTGAATATAAGAAACAGATGTTGGGGATGTTGGGGCAACGTTCAGCTCTGCAAACTTCCCCGACCGAGAAAATAAATACTCCATCTCTCCATCCCTCGGCCGAGACAAAACGCCTTACACTGTCTGTCTGTCACGGTGTGGGAAGGCATTCAGTGGGAAGCGGTCGCTGACGGTCGTTTCCGAGGAGGAGGAAGGGAGAGCAGGGCCGGTTTCGGGCCCGGACAGGGCCGGGCCGGGCCGGGCCGGGCCGGCGGCAGCGGAGCCGCCAGCAGGTGG